CTATCGAGAAGAGTATCTTGGAATCTAATGTCCCCGCAATCTCCTCTCTTCAGAACGACTACTTTGAGTTACCTGCCAAGCAGGTTGGAACTCAAATCGCAAAAGGCGCAGTGGCTCTTGCGAGGCGAAATTTTTAACGGTCTCCTCTCATTCGGTCGGTTCGTTAAAGTTCCTCCAACTGCGCCTGATAGTCTTGCCGCTTTGGCCGTCCTACTGGATGTCTCAAAGTACCAAGTGTGCTTTTCGATCCTCCAGTAGTCCGTTGACATTCAGCGGGCGCTTAACGAGTTAAGCTTCGGGGACCCAGCGACATCGGCACTTATGGCTTTCGGGTATTCCCGTTGCTGCCGATCTGGAGAACCCAGATTGCCCACACACAAGGTGTTCGCAGCAGCGACAGGTCCCCTTGACAGCCATTTCGCTGAATTGTACTGGTGGACAAGCGAGATCGCTGACCTCCAGCGCTCATGCCTGCGAGCGCGAAGGCTTGCCGAGAGAGCGCGTGGTCGGCCAAATGAAGACGCCCGCCAAGCGAACTATACCTCCGCAAGACGTACATAGCCAACGCTACAATCATAATCACGGCGCGCAATGGCCGGTTTCCCCTTATCCATCGAGAACGTGGAGCATGTATTCTTTCACTGTCCAAGGTTTAGCCAAGAAAGAGAGAGACTACAGGCTCTGCTCCACGAGGTCATGACGCCGAAAAACACCTCCTGGCTAATGTTCGCGAGCGAGCCGAACTGACTCGCGGTTGCTTCCTTTGCCCACTCAGTTGTGATAAGACTGAGAGATAAAAGAATGGACAGAAGGGGATGACCGGACGATGCGGCTAGAAGAAGACACCACCCCTTCCAAGCTCTTATGAAGCGCATAATGCCAAACCCTCCATCCCCGTGAAGTAATGCCTAACGGCGGTTTCCGCGGGGATGGAACTAAGGGAAACTGAAGTGAATGTATCTACATAATCTGTGTACAAAAAAACCAAAATGTTACATTTACTACCTAATGTAAACTTCTCTTTTCTCACATTACTAAATAAAATATATTAATACATCCAAAAAAAAAAAAACACACACACAAATGCGACTTCTAATAGTATCGCGACGTGACCCGCAAGACGGGGTAACAGCTCGGGTTGTCGATGCCGAAATAAATAGCGCAAGGGGTTACCCAGGTGATGCAGTACGGCTAGCTCGCTGGCGCACAAGTCACGGAGGTAGGTGTCCGCTCGATCCGACTGGCTCCCCAAGTACTCTGCTGGTACTCGGGTGTGATAGTCGTCACTGGCTCAGCGACCTGGAGGCGATCACAATCGCACTAGGAGTGCACTCGCGTAACACTTTCAAATCACACGGCTCCAGGAACAACTCATTCCACGAATAATTTATTAAATGAATTACTAATTCAGAAAAACAAAATGATATCAATGACTCTGAAACATTACAATGACCACATATTTTCTTATGATCATCTGTTGAAAAGTACGATTTTGTTCTAACTGGAATCAAAGAGTTTTTATAACAGTATAGAAAGGATATAACTTAAGGAGTATTGGCGAATCCCCTTTCACAATCCCAGCTCCGATATTTTAAACTTTTGTTTGTTATTCCACAATTTTGGGTATGACAGGCCACAGTCTCTTTCACAAAAAAAATTTCAGTCAACATTTTTTTTCAGGATTTAAAATCGTGTTTTTGCAATTAATTATTTATAACTTTTTTAATATTTATCTTTTCAATATGTAATATTTGTGATATGGGATTAATTATAAACACGTATCCAAAAAGGTCATAAATAAATTTTACATAAAAATTGGGTACTTTAGAATTTTTCTCGCTGTGATAAGATGTTTTAATTGCAAACTACAAAAGAGAGATCAATTCTGTCCTTCTGAGCGTTACACTTTGATTCAGTCTCATTATTTATTTTCAGTTGCTTAGCAGCCCTTGGTTTGGTTGAGAATAGCGCAACTAATGTTGTTGCTGCAATGCTCGTCTCACCTTTGATGGTACGTCTTTCATTTTTTATGATTTGTATCTCATTATTATCAATCAATCATAAAATTGTGTAGAAATATAGAGATTGGTTTATTTGTTGAAGTTCATTTTTGAGAAAGTTCATAAATCCTATATCAAAGTATTTATAACAGAAAAGAGTGCTTTTTGAATTGCCACATTTTTAATTTAAGTAATAAGAAGAAAAAATTAAGCGCAGAAAATACATAATAACCTCAAGCTGTCGAATGTGCAACGGTCATAATTTCGCGCCAAGCTCAATACGCCGAGGTTTGCGCATGTGACGGGAGAAAAACAATCGTTCGTCTTCGCGTCACCTAAAATGCGCAAACACGTGAGATCCTTCGCGCAGCCCCGGGCCGCCGATCCGCTCACGTGAGATAAGATTACGAGAGCGGACCGAGATCAGTTTTGATCCATCTGCCAACTTTAACGGACATGGACCGGGACTCGAGAGTGAATACGACGAGATCGTAAGTAGCCACGAACTGACCTGAGCCGAGGCGCGCTTTAATCTTTCAAAGAGTCGTCTGACCCACGTGTGTTAGGTGGCACGGCGCCAGGTCGGATCAGTCGTGGACAAATACGTATTTACGCGGAAATTTCGTGGTTCTCGCGGCGTGTGTGTTTTGCTCGCGAAGTATCGCTCCCCTACGCGTCCTACGGATAAATAGGCGGAAAATTAATCTGATGCGCGTATGCGCGATTTTCTCGTTTTATGTTGCAGGCACGAACGACGAAGGTCGGAGAAATTATTCTATGAATTGTTAAGAAAACGTATAATACACAATTGATATCCTTTATTAAATAATAAATTGCTCTTATTTAAACTTAACCAACTTCGCTTTTAACAACTTATTTAAACCTACCTTCTTTCAGAGTTCAAGTAACAATAAATAACTCTTTGCTATAATATAAAAAATAGAACCTTGCAAATGAAAGAGCCAAGAGACAGTTTTTCTCTGGACATTTATTATTGTGAGCTTATCTAGAGCAGTCGCCTTGTGGTTTAAATTGAATTTAAAAAGTAGATTCGATCGTACAGCACAGTACGAGTTTACTCGATATATAACCGGCATTTAAAAAAGTGCAAAATCTGAACTTTCTCAGTTTCTCGAGGTAATAAGCAAAGCTCTATTTCAGTAAAACTCTTTTAGTGAGACCCACAAGTCTTTTAGTTTGAATAGATGATCAATACAAAAGAAAAATGTTAGTGTTCCAAGGCTGAAACGATTAGAAATCGATTCAAATTATTAGAATCGTTTTAAATAAGCTTTTGAAGGATAAAAAAATTTAGGAAATTTTTCAGAATCTAAAAATCCCAAGGTTTTCTAAAGCTCTCGAAAGGAAGGATTTAATTACGTACATGAATTGTTAATGGCGAAATCCTCAACTAATGTAATTTTGGACAAAAGGTTTCGAAATACGAAGTTAACGTTGCGAAGTTTGATTTGTGTCATTCGCAATCTTACGAGCGTAAATGACGATTATTTTATTATCAAATTAGCCATAGAACATAAAGATACGGTCATGATTTTAAAATCATTGCTTCAAAATCATTGTGCAATATTGACTTTTTTCATTTATCATAGTTTATTGAGAATTGTTGTACGTGGGCATGATGGAGGGGTCCGGCGTCTTATTTTTTGATTGATTTAAAGTGCCATCGAGTCGGGTCGACTTTTTCAAATATCAGTCGAGGAGCGAATGCTCTACTCGTTGGCCTCTGGGCTGAACAGTTCCCTGTTCCTCTTGGCTACCCGTCGTGGGTGATCTCGATGCGAGGACCGGGGCTTTGACGCACCGTCTCGTTTCGGCGGTGGTGATCTCGGTGAGGTGGTCGGCGCATCGCTGGTCTTCAGCAGTGCGGATTGGCCGGGCGGAGCTGGTGGCAGCGACGGCGGATGCACTAGGACCACGAGAGAGCGAACGGCTGGTGGGATGACTCTGGCTGTGGTGAAGTCGGCGTCCGTGGGCGGTCGAGGGGACGAGAGAGGCGCGTCCGTCTGGGTGGCAGCGTCGGCGGTGATCTGTGGTGGTAGTGGACGCGGGGTTGCTCGGGCGGTGCGTTCAAGATACTGTCGGTAGGCGATTCCGGGCCAGATACCGAAGTAGGTGAGCAGGCGTTGCAATTAGTCTTCCAGTGATTCCGGAGGAGAAGGAGATGTAGGAGGTGCGGACATAACGGTTGAGCGAAATGATAGAAAAATTTTAAATCACTTTCTAATAGCGTTGAAAGTTAATCTTTGCCGGCGTTTCAGTGACGAATTGCGATTTTGCACTCCGAATACTTCCCGAACCGAATTTCGCCTGTCAAGCATGAAACAGAGTGTGTCTTTTTAGTTGTCAGTCGAGTCTCCGATACTATGGGCCTCATATACGATCGTACGCGCAAGCGTAGCGATTCGTTGTCGATAAGCTTTAACTTTGCGAATATTGATCGAGCTTAGCTGGCGCGTTGAACTTATCTTCCGTATTCCTGGCTGCGCGTATCTCATGCCTGTGTTACTGTTGTCGATGCTGACTTTCCGCTGTCTCTTCTTGTGTCTTTATGTGTTTTCTTTTTTTTTTGGAAGAAGGGAAATCCTATTTATGGATTCGATATGCGACTCTTGCTTGTCGCATGGATATGTCGGACTCGAGTAGTATACTGTTGTTTGTGTACAAATGTTGTTGTGTGGGCAATTACTGTGCCTCTCTACTAATACCGACTAAAACCAATTCTTGTCTCCTAACTCTTTCTTTCGCGCGGGACCACCGCTAGGCATTACTTCGCAAGGGAGGCTCGAGCTGCGTGCTCACTTCAGGAGTGTTATTTTCTATTCTTCATCATCTTTTTCATCGGTCATTCGGTCATCCTTTTCTGGCCCTCTCTTCGCCCCTCAGTCATGTCATGACAGAGTGGACAAAGGAGGACACTTCCAGCCAGTTGGGTTCAGCGTCAAGCATGAACCCTACCACCCTCTCGGGCTCCAAGAGCCCTCAAGAGAGGCGGTGGAGGGCCCGTTTTTCCTCCGCGAATCGAGGACAGTGAACAATGACATGCTTGGCATCTTCCACTGCTAGAGCAAACGTCAGGCACAGGTTACTCGTGTCGTTGTTTGTCCGATACAGGTATGACCTGAAGTAACCATGACCAGTCAGGAGCTGCGTGAGATGGTAGTTCACTTCTCCGTGCCTCCTCTCAATCCACGGAATGATGTTCGTGATGAGTCGGTGGATCCGCCGAACCTTTGTCGAGCGGGTCCATTGGGCCTGCCATTTCTCGATCGTCCTGGCCCGTTTTTCACTCCCAACGTTTTCGAGTTGGCGATGATACTGCCTCGAGCACTCGTCTATAAGTAATTCCAGCGGTGAGATGCTAAAAAGAACGTAGGGCATAAGATCCAGCAGGGCACCTGCTACCCTGTTTGCCTTGTTTCTGACAATGCGAACATCATCGAATCGAAGCCTTGCGTCAATATGTACGCCTAAGTACAGGATACACGGTCTGTAGTCCCAAGTCGCTTTGAGCATCAGTAAGAAAGCCTTTCTCTTTTTTAAAATAAGATGATTGAGCTGATGATGATGGATCACTTTCTTCTCTCGTTCTCCGACACTCCGTGTGAAAGGTGCTCTGTGTAAAAGTCTCTCTCTGTGTCAATCAAGTTCTAGGTTCACAATGTAAGTCTAAGTTAAAATAAATATTATAATTATAATAATCTTAACTCATTCTGTCTATTTCTTTTTAATATTAGAATACATTTCACTAATCATTTTAATTCAACAAACATGTCTTCCTAATAATAAGTCATGGTCACAGAGGCAATGAACGTTATCGTTTTGCCTCTGTGGAATTGATTGTCCCATTCCCAAATAATTTGTTTATAACCAAGTAATAGAGAGAATATCGAACAACGCAACAATACCCTGAGTTATTGTACGTTCGTTTGGCAGACTCGAAATATCGGAATACTTAGGCCACACAACGAATTAATTGTCCCAGGATAATTAATTACGTTACACGTTCTAAAGAATGGGGCGTACGGATCCCTGCGGCACGCGTGCCGTAACATCGTAGGTCTCTGCTCCATCTTCCGTGGAACTCCTCGCGACGGATGATCTTGTCAGTACGACCGCGAGCCCGTCGGGTGCGTCTTCGCAACTGGAAGCAAACCTGAAAAAAAATGTGCCCATAAAATTTGGGTGAGGGCCTTCAAGGATTTGAAAAAGTACATGTTGAAGCTGAAGCCATATTTGATACCATATTGATGGACAATATTTGCTCCTAAATTTGGTTAAAATTTTAATTTTTTGACATTTAAAAAAAACATATAGCGTTATCTTTTCCAAAGTCGAAAACTAAAATGGGCAATATAGATTGCGCCATTTTAAGTAAAACTGTTGATGTGCATCGCAAAATTCGATTAAAATGCACTTAAAATCAACAATGGGCGCGGGCAAAACCCATTTTTATATCGTATATAACTTTTTTTACAAAGCACGCACATCAAAAATAGACATACTACTCGATTCTGTTACTCAAAAACTACTTTTCCCCATGATTTCGTGATGATTCATGGTGGGGCCAATTGGGATATTGGGATTTTGTAAAAAAATCATTAAAAAACTAAAAGTCGAGTTGAATTTTTCTCAAGAGGGTAGAAGGCGCGAGTAACGACGCACACTAGTCAGTGACATTTTTTTCGAAAGTTCACTTTCTGAGGATTGTTTGGTGATGGTTTGGATAAAAAAGCTGGATGGGCCTATCGGGAATCAGAATTTGAAAATTAAAAATAGGGTGCGTTGAATTTCAAAACGCATAAAAAACGCTATAAATTGCATTTTTTTTATGAATTCAAGTTTAGACCCAACTGGAAGTTGTTCTCAAGAAAAGAAAAAGTTAAAAACTTAACGTTAACAATGCGAGGAAAGGTATATTTTAGGTTTACACAAAAATATTGTGCAGTTGACACGAATATTAAAATTTCGTGAGATTTACTCATATACTTTTCATAGAACATTCAAGATGTGTATACTTTTTGCAGAACGTACAACATACATACCCTTTGCATGCAGCCTACACTGTGTACAGTGTGTGCTCATCGCAGCATTATAAGTTCCTGGTCAGCCTTGTGCTTGCAATCGAGCTTATAACTGCGTTCGTTATGTTATATCCCTGGGATATAACAGTAGCAAAAAAGCCGATGCTTTGTATTGCGCTTTGCTCTCTAAACCTGAAGCATTGCTCAAGCTTGTGTGACTCCGAACACACGGGATAAAACGAATTCCCTCGTTCTGTCTGTACGTCAAGTCGGACCAGGCCAGCCGACGATTTCACTTCCTTCTCAGTGCGAGGAGCTCCTTTTGAAATTTCCATTGTATTTTTGAGCAACGAGAGCGCGTTCCTTTCCACTTCTAGGAATTTACAAAGATTGCGAAACGTATCGGGCACTGTAGGGTCTCCCGACTGTTTCGCGCTATCTTCTCATTTTGACTAACACACTAAAAGTGATCTCATTAATCACTTCCCAGTGCCTCGAGTAAATTGTGCACTGCATTGAGCATGCACATAATCTCGGTGGTCGAGTCGTTGGTCATGACATAAGCTCTGTCAATAGCTTATTCATGAGCAATCGCTTATTGTTGTAGTGGCTCAGCAGCACTTGCCAAGCAGTAGCGAAATGCTTGCCGCCTGACGGGACTTCTTGCAGTAGCTTGTCGGCCTCGCCCTTGATGTAGGTTCTCAAGTAGTTCATTTTAAATATATTGGGTAGATTCTGAGGGTCGATCACCATTTCTTTGAACGTGTCTCGAAATCAAACCCAATCCTGTATGTCCGCCGAGAAGTCGCTGATGACTATCGTTGGCAGCTTGGCACGATTGACGTCCATATCAGTTAGAGTCTCTGCCTTCACTTTAACCCGTTAACGCCCAGATGGACAGAATTTTTTTCTCTTTTGTAGTCTGCAACTAAACCATCTTATCAGAGCTAGGAAAATTCTTGACTACCCATTTTCATGTAAAAGTTAATTTTCTTTTTAATTATGAGTTTATGATTCACCTCTGATAAATATTAAAAAAGTTATGAACAATTTTCTGCCAAAAATCACGATTTTGAATCCTGAAAAAAAACTTTGATTCAATTTTTTTTTCATAAAAGAGACTTAAACTGTGGCAAATAATACCCAAAATTGTGGAATAAGAACATAAAGTTTAAAGTAGCGTAGGTGGGATCAAGCCATAATAGCTCCTGAACCTACGTAGCAGGGTCCATGTAGAAGTAGCTGATGTTGGACTTCGATTGAACTCACCCGTGAATTTTATCTCACGTGCGAGTCGTCAGGTATCCCGTAGCACGCAGCATCTTCTTATCTCCTTGTACATTGCTTTCGAGACAAAACAATGTCCTTTGTGTCGCGAGGTGCGCATAATTTTAATTTTAAAGTACGGCCTGAAATTAAGATAGTTATAGTGTATATTTTTCAAAAATATCGGATTTATTGGAAAACATAAAATAATTAACACAAAAAATGAATTGATTAACAGGGTCCGGTTATGTCATTGACGTTTGGAACTATTGTATCCGATAAAACTTTGCAATTTAATGGCGCAAAGAGTTTAATCTGTGGCATCTTTTTATCAATAGTATTTGGATTTATATTTGGACTTCTGTTAGGAACTACCGAAATGCCGTGGGGTTATAATGATTGGCCGACTGATGAAATGAAGGGAAGGTACAGTGAACTTAGTTTCTAAATATGGTCGATTCTCTGTGAAGTCGAACACTAAAAAAAATTTTTTTTTCTGCAAAATATGAAAAACTTTTTGTTCCTGATGTCAGATTTGCCCAAAAAAATTGTTGAGGCCCAAAGTTGTACATTTTAGCGTTTTTCCGAAATTCATTAAAATCATTAAAAAATCGCAAAATTCATTGAAAATCGCAAATATTCAAACAATTCCTAGATCAGTGTAGAATGACTAAAAAATTAAAGTGACAGAATTTTTCTGTTGGAAATTGTTCAAATCTTCAAAAAAATGTATCCTAAAGTGATTGGAGCAATCTGGGAGTTTGTGAAGTCGAAATATCTTGAAAAAAACAAAAAAAAAAAAAATTTAATCGAGTTTGATCCGAACTTTCGTCTCTAAAACTATGGAAAAACTTTTCAAAAAATGTCAACTACTGCCTAATAAAGTTTGATTATGGGTCTGAAAGTGTAACGCATGTTAGACAGCAACATATGTCGAAAGGCGTGCAAAACACGTCGAAGATAAGCCCAAAAAACGTAAAATCGCCAAAAACAGCTATTTTTCGACGTTTCTCAATTAATTTGGGACATTGGTTTAAAATATACGTTTTTATACCATCAAACCATGTTTTTCACCGATTTTTCGTTGATCATGAGTCATTGACGAGATCTCGATGAATATTGAACCAATTAAAATTCTGTCAAGAGGTTTGAAAAGTTCTTCAGTTGTACTACAATCGTTCGCTCTCGTTTCATTTTTCAGGAAAATTCAACCTCATTATCGATTATTAACTCGTGTGCCGTTTTTGCAATAGTTTTTATACGCATGAGAAATCGCGGGCCATCCACGTTCAAGTGTCTGAATACCTCTCTCGGAATGGCTTGACAGATCCAGGACAGAATGGTTTTAGACCTGGGCACTCCACCACGACTGCACTGTTGGAGATCACTGAGCGAGCCCAACGTGCCATAGACCGCAGGGAGGTATCTGTTTTGGTGTCGTTCGACTTCTCGAAGGCGTTCGATACTATCAACCACACCATCCTAATACGCAAGCTCATTTGTGCCGGTCGCTCTGATAGTGCGATTAAGTGGTTCGTGAGCTACTTGGACGGCAGAAGCGTATGTGTGTGGCTAGAAGATGGCACGCATACGGAGCAAAGAGCAGTCACAAATGGTGTCCTGCAAGGTAGCATTCTCGCCCCGTTGCTGTTTTCAGTCTTCATCGCCGACCTCCCCACCTGCCTACTCACCTCTCAGCACATAATCTACGTGGATGATACTCAGATCATTTCGCATGGACTGCCGGCTAATTTTGGTAAACTCCTGCCAGGCGTCACTAGAAACGCAAATGCCGTCTGTGAGTGGGCTACGACAAACAGACTGACACGCAACGCGGCCAAAACGAGGGTCATGCTTATTGGAACTTGAGCTTTGTGACCTCGCTGATCCCGGCATTGCCTGCACGACTGAATATGGGTGGCGTAATTGTACCTTTCTTGGAAGAGATCAAGACTCTGAGTGTCTTCTTATCGGGAAAGTTTAACTGGGATCGACGGATTGCTTTTATGACCCCAAAACAAGCACGCTCTCTCTCACAAAATGCGTCTGATGCTAATCTTACCCTGATAGCATCTCACCTGGACTACCCAGCACCACTGTTGAAAGGAGCAGTCTCTAGCTCTTCAGCGCCTGCAGAACGTTTGTATCCGATTCATATATGGCACGATACCCAGGACGGCTCATGTCACTTCCTATCGACTAGCTCTAGGATGGCTCTCAGCTATT